ATTCTAGAAGAGATTTGAATAACATGAAAAACAAAAATAATTACATTTCTACCTACAGGTATATCTGTCCAAATATTAAACAAAAACAAAGTCTAACCATGAATTCAGTGAGTGTCCCCAGACCTAGGCGACTTAGCAAATAATATTTAGAATATTGTATACAAAAAATGTGTCTAAATGCGATAGTAAGTACATTTTTTTTATTTATTTACTAATTTAGTATACACACAATACGCATATTGAAATTTCTTCCAGCAGGCCTAACATTATATCGTTTGTTCACTGAGATTAGTCATTACTAGCAAACCAGTGAACCAAATGTTCACCAAAAAAAAAATATATTTAATTAATTGAGAACTTCGGAGATTTTGTGTGGTTTCGTTTGAAATAGAAATCACGTGATTTCTCGAAAACCGGAAGTGCTACGTTACTCACATCCGGTTTGTAGTCTTATCAGACTATTCTTAACTTATAACTTAAACATTCTCTATATCTATCTCTTACGGTTTGGCCGCTGAAACAGCACCACGGACGGACGGACGGACTTGTCTATTAGATAAGAGATACGAGCAGCTTGGTTATTAGCATCCATCAAAGTTTTTTGCAGTGTCGCTGTAGCTTAAGGGCGTTTGTTAACGAGGCGTTTTTTACCCAGGCTGATGCCGGCTAAATTTGTCCATGAGCACGGTTTGTACATTTGTACCGTCACCCTAAACTAGGGTTGCCAAACTTACTAAATAATATAGTATCCCTCTATATTATAGGATCAAATACTATACTTCGAAAAAAATATATAGTAGGCGAAATTACTATATTTTGCTTAAAGCAGATTTTTGCCAGTAAAAGCTTTCTTAAAAATAAAAACTGAATTATTAAGGTATTGAGTAACAAAATTATAGAACCATTTCTAAAATAAAGTAAATATTTAAACCACATACTATATATTTTTCATTTTTTTAGAGGAAACAGCTTCGAAATACTTACTATATTTGATAGAAAATAAATTGGTAACCCTACCCCAAACCATCACTAACGCCGGTGTCGATGTCATTAACAAACCTCCATATTGTCCCACACTTAAGTGACGACCGGACTTAAACCGGAGTTTAAACTTTGTCTGGACCCGTACAGTAATCGTCTCGTCAACCAGCACCCTTAGACTTAACTAATGTAAAATTTTAATGTACCGGTGTTGAGGTATTTCTATGAGAATCACATATAGGGATATGCCCCACTGCTGGGGCACAGGCCTTCCCTATGAATGGAATAGGGAGATTGAGTCATGACCCACCACGCGGGCCCAGTGAGGATTGGCGGGTGCTAACGACTGCAGATGCAGCCGGGACCAACGGCTTAACGTGCCTTCCGAAGCACGGAGGAACTCAAGATAGAAGATTTTTGGTCACCCATCCAATGACCGACTACTGCGAAAGTTGCTTAACTTCAACGATCGCAGCCGAACGCGCTAACCATCTGCGCCGTCGAGCTCCTCATAGGTACCTGCTCAAGTATATTTATGGGCGTATTTAAGTGGTTCGGTAATATTATATATAAAAGTTAGAATCATAATTTTAACTTATCTACGGGTTAGTGTTTGTTAGTAGGTATATTTGATTTTGAAGTAAATAAAAGTATTGACTTTATTGCTTCGATCAACAATTCTTTATATAACGGGTTGTATACATAATCAAAGCTAAAAACTGTCCGCGCAGCTAGCTACACTTGATTCCCAATGAACAAAGACAAATGTTTTAAAACAGTTTAAGTTGTACCCTAATGACAAAGGAATAATGTTGCAAATAACAAAATGTTATTTCGTGCATACGACCTTTTATCTTATCTGATACTCGACCAAAACCGTTAAAGGTGAAGTAAGGAAAATGTGAAATCAACCTTATGTCGCACAAAATAAAGTTTTACCAGTCATTGGCCAGCGAGTTACTTCGTTTTTACATCGATTCTTTTAGTCTTTGCGAAATGGTTGTTGGAAAAAAGTTGGACAAAATATTGGACCAATGTTGTCAAATATTCTTAGCGGGAGGTTTGAATATTGTGATTTTATTAGAAATATGACATTACTTATTAGTGTAAAGGATAAACAATAGTGCTTTTTCATTTACTTATTAAAAGTAAGATACTCGGACAGAAACGATGCTTATTTAGTAATTATTTTTGCAACTTTTGAATGCACATTGTGACATCGAGACGCGTGTTTACATTGGCTGTGTATCAACCGAACTAATTCAAAATAAGATCTCACGCCTCAAGTGCGGCTATATTTCCTGAGACGAATTTTATGCGCTGACCCGTTATCTATAGTATTGTTGTTCCAACATTTATTGCCATAGAAACATGAAGATTAATGACAAATCATACTAATATTATAAAGGCAAAAGTTTGTGAGTGTGTATGTTTGTTACTTCTTCACGTCTAAACGGCTGGAGCAATTTTAATAAAATTTGGTATGGAGTTAGCTGACACCCTGGATCAACACAAAGGCTACGTTTTACTGCGGGAAAATATCCCCAATAAACCGCGGGTAACACCGCGGGGCACACCTAGTATTAGATAAGCTTGGGTGATTCAAAAGGGGATCGCCTGTTTGCTTGGACACTCCTAACTGGATGACTCAATTTGTTCAATGCTGCGATAAATTGCCACCACTGCAATTGTCGTTAACAATGATCCTTCCGGTCCTTTAGAAATGTTCGAGAAAATAGCTTGGATAACTAAATTTACTGGTTTATAAACAGAATTGCTTACTTGAATTGTTCAAACGTGCTTCGTGCTTAAATGAGACCTTTATGACAGAACTCACAGAGCTAGGTAAGTACCTCTCATAAATGAGATTGATTGAAATTTTGTGCTGTGCAATATAAAAATCACATGATCATAAACCATAATGAAGTTCATTGACCGTTAGCACTTTGTAATTTATTCACATAAGCACACATTAATTAAAGAGGAAAAAAACTAGAATTTACGTTGCGTTATATTTGTTCTAGTTAATGATTCGCTTTTAAAAAAAAGTGCGATAATGTGGTACTTAACTATGTAATGGATTGAGGCTTGGGCTTATTGGTTATGCCCCATGATGTCATTTTTCGTAGGTTAGGCACTTCCAAGGTCACAAATAAATGATATCACGTTGTTAAAATTTCGGAAACGTTTTTAATCTCAAGCTGCGTATAGATAGCGCGTTCCAAACGCGCCATCCATACGAGTACTCACTCACAGCTACTCGTAGAGGGTACGCGTAGCCACAAGTATGTACTGTCGAAATCCTGTGTGATCTACCAATTACATATTTCTTGAAATCTAAAATGAAAAAGCACCGTTTGGTACAAAATTATGTAGTATTTTGTTTTTTTATTAAGACAGCAAACAAACTGAATATAGTAACTACTTATTTATATTATACTAGCAAACCAGTGAACCAAATGTTCAGCAAAAGCTGATTTAAAAAAAAATGTATTTAATTAATTGAGAACTTCGGAGATTTTGTGTGGTTTCGTTTGAAATTCGTGATTTCTCGAAAACCGGAAGTGCTACGTTACTCAAATCCGGTTTGTAGTCTTATCAGACTATTCTTAACTTATAACTTAAATATTCTCTTTATCTATCTCTTACGGTTTGGCCGCTGAAACAGCACCACAGACGGACGGACGGACGGACTTGTCTAATAGATAAGAGATAGTTTTGTAGTCAAATTTTGTAGCCGTTTAATAGATATCACTATAGAAGAGAGGATGAAAAAGATGCGTGCAGCAGTTGGTGATTATGATGCGCAGTCTGTTCTACTTAATATTTTTTTTTGCCTTGAAACGATCAACTGAACTAAAAGCGGCGATCGACTGGTTAGCCACCCCATTTTTTTTGTGACCCAGGCAAAAACTCTGTTTACAGACGATGGCGCCTTTAAGAGGCACACCGCCGAACGGACCTCACACCTGGCTCCCGCAAACCTTAAGAGCCCCCACAGTGGCTGCCCACTGAGGACCCCGTAACTCTTACGGGCGCTTTACGGCATAATATCCGCTAAAAACCCTGCGAATACCCTCTAAGCTGCTTAGTGAGAAACCGCGGCATCCCCGTTTAGGGATTCTTCTACGTCTCCGCATCCAGCAGCCTCCCATCCTAGCCGGGGCTCCACGGCAGGGGTCTCCCGAGGTATTGCGGGGACTCCGCAGACGTGCGCAGGATGGCTCGCGCGTGGGGGCTGAATACGCAGTCTAGTGCCCACCGTACCGCCCCCCGTCCGCTGCGGAGGACTACTTGGGCGTGCCCGTGTAGCTCTTTCCGCCGCCCCCCCTTTGCAGGACATAACTACAAGATGGGGGCTGCCGTCACGGGATCCCTCGGTGGCCGGCACGGCACAATGCGCCGTACCAGCCAGCTAGGGATCCCCGCGGGCAGGGTCATGGGACGGGCGTAGCCAGGGCACGCACACGTCCTCTCCTGCCCGCTCTTGGTTAGCCACCCCTAGTATATGCCATTCTAGAGCACGCGTAGTCGCCTATGCGTTCTCTGGAATGGGTTATCCGTACACAGCTTTACAAAGCTCATTGATAAATGAAGATTGATCTTATTAGAACCTAGGTTACACAGAGGTTTTGTTGTGTTAAGAATGTTACTTTACTACTAAGTCGTTCAAACCAAGACATATCCTCGGTTTTAAACCATTAAATAAATCATAAATATTTCCAACACACATTAATTAGCCTAGCCCCAAAGAAAGCACCGTAGGCTTGTGTTATGCGATACTAGGGTAACGGATAGAATACATATACTGATACATTTATGTAAGTATATTTTTTATAGAAATACATATTTAACATTCATAACTGGAGTACAAATGTTCGTATTCATCACACAAACATCTGCCCCCACCGTGATTCGAACCTTGAAACCCGGTATAAATACTACTTGGCCACGGAGGTCGTCATTTAATTTTTATACACACTTGAAAATATTATAAACCTAATCATTCCCTTTTACAGTACCAAGGAGTATGGTATGAAATCTCCAAATACGATAATCCCCATGAAAAGAACGGCAAATGCGCACAGGCGGAGTACAAATTGGATGGTGATATCGTCAAACTGAAGAACACTCATGTCGTCAACGGTGTACAGACTTCTATCGAGGGTACTGCCAAGTTAGCCGATGATGCCAATAAAGCTGCCAAGCTCCTTGTTACATTGAATGTCGGAGGTGAGCATATGAGTCAAACACTTAGTTAGAGTTACACCACATAGTTAGTTAAACTTTAATTTTACTAAACTTCAAAATGACTGGACATGACAGTAAACGTGAAAATAAGTGGGTGAAACTGACGCCTTTCATGTGAAACGTCTTTTGGTGTTTAGTAATAAGAATAGTTTGGATCTTCACTCAAGAATTCACGATGGCTAGGACCTGGAGTTTTATTCTCTTTCTCCGAAACGAAATTTTGGTAACGAACGAATTTTAAACGAAATTTCGCCATTGACACTACTCTATTTCATTTTCGAACGGGTATATTAACTTCGGAACCATAAACAGTTTTCGTGAACGAATGGAATGAGTTATGTTTGTGAATACATTATATCTCTACTTTTAGGAAAACGTTTTTTTACTTGGAAACATTATAGGTAGTTTACGACAAATTTTTTTATGACATTGAAAGAACCTTCTTTGACAGTGTTAGCCGACTAATTTGTAGAGTTGATACAATCTACTGTATGTCAACCTAAATTTGTCGTTTAATACTTTGAAGTATCGAAATTACAATAGATAATGAAAAAAATGGTTTATTTGTTAATTTTACATGCTAAAAATGTTTCTCGAGCTAAGCAGCTATTATTAAAAATACTCTAGCAAGTATTTCAAGCTTCATTAAAACAAAAAATCTCAAAACGTAAAAATGAAAAGGTAACACTTTTCATTTCGTCAATTTGAGGTTAAAATTTCGAACAATTATCTGTCAAATTCAACTTTTCCTTCGAAAGTTTTGTGAATTACAGTAGGCTTAGAGAATTTAAATGTCAAACTATTATCGACCTCACGAATTTTCGTAATGAAATAGAAACAGTAAGGTACGTGCGAAATTTCGATCGAAATTTCGTTTTTTGTTGCAATAGAGTAGGCCTCCTGATCTGGTTTTCGTTCCATAATTTCAGAAGAGATACATCATCGATTTAACTTAATTTTAGTTGAATATCCAGCGAGTGCTTTAAAGTTTCTAGTTATATCTATCTAACGGCTATCCCGTGGCGGTTGACTTTCGAAAATCCCAGCTGGCAACTAGATACATTTTTATTACATTTCATATTAACTTTATTTTTGCATGTGATGATCGATTTATATGAAAATCAAACGTTGCCTTCTTCATAAGATTTAAATCTAACTTAATCGCGACATGGAAAAATATGCAAGGAGTTCCACATGTTATACAATTGTTAAAAATAAGTCCGTTCGACTGTTATTTTAAAAACACTTTTGGTTGCCATTGCAGAAGCCAGCAGGGAGACACCATTGATGGTAGTTGCTACCGATTATACAAACTACGCCATCGCTTACAACTGCAAAAATGACGAGAACAAGAAATCCCACCAAGGTGAGTGACATCTAATCAACTAGATTTTTATTTTTTATGTTAAAAGCATGGCAAATAGCTTATGACCCGTCTCACTGTAAGCAGCCACCGTAACCTATAGATGATTGCGGTACTAAAGATATCACTCGCGCAGTTGCCTACCCTGACTCAACCCCCAATCAAGTAGAGCCTTGAAACCTGAGTTATTTTACTGTGGTCTTCTGTAAGGTGGAAGTAACTATCCAGACGGGTGCCTCATTTCTGAAAGGTGCCCACTATGTCCTACCTTTCTTAACCCACAATGTCAAACATCCATTGACTAATCTAAAATGGGCATTTAAATTGCAGTTCACTAAAGAATGAGCATCAAAAAATTTTCTCAACAGAATACGGGGCCAGAAAACTCTCAGAAATTTATATTAATGTTTTTTTTTGACTCAAATTGACGCTTTAATCTTCAGCTGGGTATCAGCATCTTGGTATCCAATAGGCTAGTTGACTCATGTCGAATTGTATTAAATAAATGTTTATTTCTTAAAGTATTTGGTCTAAGGAACCTAAATATATCGATTTCACTTCATAAAAGCAGCAGCAGCAAGTTCTAACCAGGTATTGCGTAGGTTAATTTCTTTCGGCACTTTAATCCACAACTTTCCTGGAGTCTTCAAGGATGTGTTTTTACATTCTCGTACAATACAATAATGATAATTACTATATTTTTGGTGGTATTTTATTAGAGATCATGTTTTTTTTATTATAACCTCATATAGGTTATATTCTACGTGCTTACGAGTTTTTGTTTACTACCGGTTGACGTCATAGCCTTCGGTCATAGCATACATAATCTATAGACTAAAATGACCGACAGCGTTTTTGTATGTCCATGAAGTCTATTTTAAAACTAAAGATTTGTAGCTTTCTAGGTCTCAAATAATACAATACATTTTTTTTCGATCTAATAGAACATTTATTAACCATTTAAAACCTTTTTCCAAAAAGGGTCAACTAGCCTTTTATATTACAAAACTAACTTACTTGGCTATTCATATTATTTGCTATTTCTAAACTTGACAACAGTTTATCCTTATCATGCATATATTATAAGGAATGATAAGGACAGACTGATGTCAAGTTTACAAATAACAAACACGAATAAACATGTACAGTGCTGGCAAAAATCATAAGAATTGTCTGTTTTATTTTAAAACATTTTATAGGTAATATTGATAAGAACCGATAATGAAATGTTACGAATTGTTGGTCTAATTCTGTGGCATTTGAAGATAAGATAAACATACCTTCTTATGAGTACCTCGTTTTGTTTACTGGAATAAATATTTCAGTAATTTTATTTTTCAGCAGTTTTAATTCTTCGATGGAGGTATTGTCAGCAAACTTGTTTGATGCTCTTAATTTACCAGACTGAGATGACTTATTACAATAGGGATGATGACGGGGTACAGTAAACGAAATTCTATTTAGTCAGTCAGTTAGATGATCAAAAAATAATGGACACGTATTTTTTCTTTGGGCAATCAACCAAAAAATGACAAAATTATAGCGCGTCAAAGTTTAGGAGTAGGGGCTCGTGACGTCACTTTTGAGTGAATTTTCCCTTATAAGTGTACTCAAACGTGACGTCATGCGACTTTTCAAATCAATATATCTCTGCAATGTTTATATTATGTGAAAAAAGAAAAAATACGTGTCCAATACTTTTTGATAATCTACCTGACAAACGAAGGAAAAAAAATAGTCATCATCCCTATTATTAAAATATATGTATTATACGTTAATTGAATTTAATTTAGCATGGGTTCATAGTAAAGGTCGTCTTATGATGAAAATTTATACTATAGATTAAATCGAGAAATATTATGAAACAAGTAACTGTAATGATGCTGAAAAAAGAAAAAAAAACTTTTAATAAAACAAGATTCTGCAATGATTCCAAAACAATTAAAATTTAGCTTTCTTTTAGTTACAGTTAATACAATGGTGTAAAGTTGAGACCAGTTTTTCTTTATATAGATATCGGCTGAAATATTGAAAAGTTTTTGCATATATTTTGTTGCCTTAGCTACAAACATTCATCATGTCACACTATCAATAAATGTTATTTTTCTAACACTTAAGGGCAAAGTACGACTTATTGATAAGTTTAAATAGCTTAGTTTTTATTCTGATAAAATACTGTTCCTTGTAGGTATTAAGATAATAGCATCGAGAATACTTATGTTCCAGTGCAAATGTACGTTATAAAATTCAAATGATTCTCCATTCTCCGTCTGCATGTTATGCTTGCTATCTTTAAATTTTACTCACGGGTCGATTTAGAAAAAATACTATATAAAACTAAGTTCTTTCAATGCATTTAATACCTGACCAAGGGCAGATCGAGGGGGGGGGGGTCATGAGGGTCATGACCCCCCCTGGACTGGGTCCATCTGTACTCACTTCATAATTTGTACTTCCAATCTGTACCCACTGTGACTTGATCACGACTATATGACCCCCCCTGGCGCCAAAGCTGGATCCGCCCTTGTACCTGACCACCTTATGCTTATTTTCTTTTAGCATTCCAATTCAAAAATCTTCGACTGTTGCATTGTAAGTTGGCAGTTTGGTAGTTAAAAAGATATTTCTCCTTTCGTTCACCTTAAGTTAAATCATATCATTCTCTCTCCCTAGGTTAAATGATATCGTTAGTAGGTCAACCGATTCTACTCACCTTTCAAATTACGCATCATTAAATTTAAGGTCTGATGGATACAGTAAACGGAATATTAATAATTGTATTCTGATTTCAGAAGCATTGTGGGTGTTGTCCAGAACGAAGACTCTTGAGGGTGAAGCCAAGACAGCAGTGGACACTTTCTTCAAGAACAACAAGGAACTCGATGCTTCTAAACTAATTCAAACAGATTTCTCAGAAGAGGCGTGCAAGTTCACCAGCACTGGTGTAGTAACCGAGCATAAGGATTAAAGACTGAGTGATGCAGCATTGATTTTAAGCCCTAATCTTACTTTTGAGGAAATATTGTTAAACAAAAATGAGGAAGATTAACTAAAACTCTAAATTAAAGCAGGCGTTTCAGCAACTATTCTATAAGAAGTAGTTTGATAAACCTCGATCGGGAATTGGCGATTTATGTTTTACTGCTGGAGGTCGCCTTCTAAGGCAACTCTGGATTTAGAAAGACTCGAGTAATAGCGATAAGATTTTAAGTGGCCGTCAGAGCCCTTAGTGATAAAAATTATATCTACCCAAAACTTAACAAAAAACATTTTGTGCACATGAAAGAATTATAACTGATCGCCAGTCGCCAGTCATACTGGGATAGTCCCACTTTGATACCCCCTAGTAGTAGCTAATTTCTAAATCCTGGCAAAAAAATGGTTTTGTTTATGTTAGGTGTATCCTTATCAGTGCCTTTAAAGTGTTAATTTATCGATCGATTAAGAGATTATTTAACTAGCTTGTAACTTGGTATTTTTGTTTCTTATCTGTGCTATATGTCAGTTCTACGCATTCCAAAATATTACTAATACGTTAGATAATATTATGAAATGGCAAAAGTATGTGTTTGTCATGTTGTTTAAAGCTCTATTAATACAGCAGATTGTTCAGATCGTTGTGTGCGTTTTTATCATGAAGACAATTTTTCAAAATTCGTTTTATTACCAGCATATTTGTTCAGGTGTAAAGAAAGTTAGACTAACGCCTGAATATTATTAATATTAGTTCATCAGTAAACACAATAAGAAGTGCGCTTTTTAAATTGTTAAAAGTCGAAGCTCTGATTATTATGGTTATGTCACATTTTTTACTTGTTCTTTTGAAATATTGGGACTGAATATCAGAGCTTAAGATTTGATATGGTCAGAATTATTATTTGAAGACGCAATCATTAATTTTAAGTATGTGTCGGATTTGTCGCTTCAGGTGTGCGAGTTACATGATACGAAATACATGACAAATGTCTATTTTTTTAGTTAAGTAGTGTTAGATTAATTATAAACACCTTAATATAGTGATGATTTAATATTTCTGTAATTATAAGATAACATGGTTACTTTTTGTTTCATTTCATACATTTTGCAATCTCTCAACTTGTCCGGGAACAAAATATGCCTAAATTTTTGTGCATTGGATAAATTGTAACGCATTTAAGAATAGGTCTTATCCTATCTTCTCAAAATATCATTTAGCGTTTCATTAGAAGGAATGAAGTACACACAAAGCAGTTTTTTTTTTGTATAGATGATTTATAAAGTTACTACTCTAATTTTCAACTGAATATGAATAAATTCGCGGAGCTCGATGAAGTTGTAAGCGCGTTCAGCTGCGGTCGTTGAAGCCACTTTCGGTGTGGTCCGTCATTGGATGGGTGACCAAAAATTTACTATCTCGACCTCCTCTGTGCTTTGGAACGCACACACAGCCAGTGATCCCGGCTGCATCTGCAGTCGTTAGCACCCACCAATTCGCACTGGGCCGGCGTGGTGGGTAATGGCCCAATCTTTCTATTCCATCTATGGAGAAGACCTGAAGACCCCCTAGCAGTGGGAACATTGATAGGCTGATGATGATATATAAATTACCCTTTCAGTATTTGGCTAGTGCTCCTTTTTTCTATACTTGATTAAGGCAAAGTAAGGGAATACATTGTGACATGCAATAAATAAATAAATTGTTCTACGTAGTGCATTTTTTTGAAATAAGTCCAGAGAAAAAAGCGAAGTACTTCCTTCAAAAAAGTACCTTTAATAATCCATTAACCTCGTAATGAATATACAGAGTTATACTTGGATTTCCGTTAATCCGTAATATTAAATATTAATCTGGTCGAGGATAACAATTTTAGGTATGAAGATAAATGGCCAAGCATTTAAAATATTAATCATATTTTTATAATATGCACGTGTAACTAGTAGCAAGTGCAACGTTGCAAGTGTTTAGTCTACTTGATTAATTATAATGGTGGTTTACCATCAGGTGGAGCATATGCGTGTAAATATGTAATGACGACCTCCGTGGCCGAGTGGTTTGTACGCCGGGTTTCATGGCTGTCGCCGACTCGAGAGATCCCGGGTTTGAATCCCGGTGGGGGCAGATGTTTGTGTGATGAATACGAGCATTTGTACTCCAGTCATGGATGTTTAATATGTATTTATATAAATATACTTATATATGTACAGTATATGTATTCTATCCGTTACCCTAGCATCCCATAACACAAGCCTTATAGTGCTTACTTTGGGGCTAGGCTAATTGGTGTGAGTGTCGGAAATATTTATATATTTAAACTATCTTTTGCCACTCTCATGTTTTCATAAAATGTTTCCAGAAAAGTACTAACATATATGCTCGTATTTTTGTAACGGTTATTGTATAATCTTTGTTTTTAAGGCTAATAAAATTCTTGCTTTCTTTCTTTCTTAACGGCTGAAAAAGACAACGGATTACTGAAATAAAGAATTGAAGTACACGATAAGAGAAAAGTACCAACGTTATGTGCTCCGCCATTGATAAAGACAAGCTGACTTCGAATAAAAAAAAGCTTGAAATCAATGTTTGGAAACATTTAATAGATTATTTGATCACAGTCCTTTTTATTCGCAATCATCACCAGAAGTTGCTGGTGAAGAAGTTCGCCTCATATTTGTTGGTCAACGAGCAGCTGGTTTCGGAGAAATCCTTAAATACGAAAGAGTTTCTGTGTTATGCCAGCTCCGAGCAAAGGCTAAAGACAAGCTGATTTTCGAATAAAAAAAGCGTGAAATCAATGTTTGGAAACATTTAATAAATTATTTGATCACAGTCCGTTTTATTCGCAATCATCACCAGAAGTTGCTGGTGAAGAAGTTCGCCTCATATTTGTTGGTGAACGAGCAGCTGGTTTCGGAGAAATCCTTAAATACGAAAGAGTTTCTGTGTTCCGCCAACTCCGAGTATTTGGAGAGTGCGCTCTCTACTTCCTTCAACGTGTCTCCTTGCAAGTCCTTATTGCGTGCCAGGACCCAGGTGAACACTGTAAATTATATGAAAATCAATTGGACACTTGTATACGGTTCAATAAGGGTCTTCTGACCGCGACTTTGTCCGCGTTGAAATTAGTTATTTTCAAATTCCAAAGGAACCTTACATTTTGCCGGAATAAACAGCATCCCATGTATCGATCTAGGTAATAAACTATATGCGTACTAAATTTCATCCAAATCTGTTCAGTAGCCTTTGCGTGATTGAGTAACAAACATACAAACTTTTACATTTATAATATTAGTAGGATATGATAGGAAGGATAGTACGATAGGAAATATAGGATAGGATAGAAGGAAGGAATTAGGATAGGTAGTATTGTTTCGGTGATTTCTGTTGGGTTTGCCATGAATTTCCTTTCATACAAAACACTTCCTCTGACTATAATGGCAACTACTAAAATGACGGTCAAATTGGTGGAGACGTTCACAAACATTGCTGCGTCATAAATGTGGCAAAACTCTTTAAAAACCCAAATCCTAGGGCTTAATATCTTAAATCCAATGAAAACCGTCATTAACCAAGGATTTTAGTGGTTCATTTACAACTATAAATTTTACACGCATACTTACCATAATGTGTTCTTTGTTTCTTCTTCAAAGTCTTGCACGTGTAAGCGATGGCATATTCATTGTAATCAGTTGATAGTATGAAGAAAGGGAATTGTAGTACTTTATCTGGAAATAAAACTTTGCCTATACTTTATGTTTTGATTTTTTAAGCATTTATCTGCTAGATGTTTAAATCGTTGCCTATATATATCGATTTTATATAGTGGGGGCGCTTGTTAACGAGACGATTTCTACTCCGGTCTAGGCACGGTTTTTAAGCTCGGTCTCTACCCGAGCCGGTGTCGACTAAGTCGGTTTAAACGTTTAAATCGACCCCAAACTGTCGCTAGCGCCGGTTTTGTTAACAAACCTCCACAGTGTCCAAATTTAACTGTCGACCGGACGTAGATACGATTTAAAGCCGTGCCAAGACCCAGGTAGATATCATTTCGTTACCTAGCATCCTTAGACTAACTAGCGTTTTTTTTATTATTCAGCAAAGTTGCCCACTTCATTTGATGTTATATGAAAGTGGAACCAAAGATAGGCAACTTCACCTTGATTTAAAAAACAAAACTGTTTTCATGAAGCCCTGGAACGATAGACCCAGATTAAACTAGACACCGCATCTACTTCGTAGTGTATGAAAACCGAGCGTGTTAGATTTTGAGTATTCACGACATCAAACAAGTGGGGAATAACATGGGCCCCGGTCATCTATTTCAATTACTTATATCGTTTTTACAGCTTAATATTAACATTGACAGTGGAAAAGCAAAATCGCTTAAACGCCACTTACAGACAGTAAGACAGACTTACAGACAGTAACTTTACAGACACGAGGATCAAAGTTTCTTTATTCTAAAAAGACATACATAACTCATTGTAAATGAGAAGTAGCGCCATAAACATAAAAAAACATATAGGAGCTCGATGGCGCGGGTAGTTAGGTTAGGCGTTCAGCTGTGATCGTTGAAGTTATGCAACTTTCGCAGTGGTCGGTCATTGGATGGATGACCACAAATCTTCCATCTCGAGTTCTTCCGGAACTCTTTTGAGCTTCGGAAGGCACGTTAAGCCGTAGGTCCTGGCTGCATCTGCAGTCGTTAGCACCCGAACTGGGCCCGCGTGGTGGGTCATAGCCCAGTCTCTCTATTCCATCCACAGCAGTGGGAACATTAATAGGCTGATGATGAATGTTTTCTAAATATCCTCCTATTAAAAAGTTACATAGTGTCTTTACTTAACGAATTAGATGTTGCTTAAGCGAAAATCATTCGGCCCGCCATACATTTTTGTCAAGGAAACATGAAATCATACGCCAAATAGTAGGGAGTGAGCGCCATTGGTTCAAAAAACACCAACATTTATGTCACTTCAGCGTGGTGAACAATAAAAATGTTCAAAAATTTTTTTGCTTAAACGCCAAAAAAGTACTCAAATCTTTACGAAACCCAAACAGATCGAGCAGAAAAAACATCTGATTAAAATTATATATACAGGGTTAATTTTAAAACATCAACAACCTCTTAGGGGGTGATTCTACCCATCAACAGGAACAACTTTTATTATGGGAACAACTCTGAAATCGCGGACAAAAAAATCTGCTGTTTCACATACAAAAGTGCATCAGCTAATCGAATAACGTATAAGTGATTAAAAGCCTTTCCACTGTCGACATAGTTAGATATTTTTAAACGTTACAATTGACGTCCAGTATTGGGAAGGTGACGCAAAGAAATAAATTATCGTAAAATGAAGACTGGCAAGAGCAAAAGCTTTTGAAAACACCTACCTCCATCCTCGTGGCTCACTATAAACTGAGCCTTGTTCCCAGCATCGAAGGTCGGATCTACCCTAGCGAGGTAGGACTTCTGGGTGCGATTCCCCAGTTCCTCGTTGACGTACGTCTCCCTCAGGATGTAGCCCATGTTGTCCTCTTGGAAGTCAAGAGTCGCGCAGTCGTAGATCTGGCGGCCGTCGCTTGCGTAACTGGCGACATTATACCATAACCCTGAAAACTAAACAATAATATTTTTATTTTATAAAGAAAACTTTATTATAAATCAAAATTCAAACCACACTAATATTATAAAGGCGAAAGTTTGTAAGTGTGTGAGTGTGTATGTTTGTTACTTTTCCACGTCTAAACGCCTGGAGCGATTTTAATAAAATTTGGTATGGAGTTAGCTGACACCCTGGATTAACACATAACCTACGTTTTATCCCGAAAAAATGTTAGTTTCCTGAGGGATTTTTAAGTTAACGCAGACGAAGTCGCGGGCGGCCTCTAGTAAATTCTAAATTTTTATTCAGTCTGGGCTGTTACAAGCACTTGTGAATATCGAAAAGCTACGCCATCGGACCGCAAATCTATCCGGATGGATTTTTTGACCAATTTTGCTACCGAGACCTTAAAGGCCGTCTCTTAATTGGTCAGTGCATCCGACTGGGTAGCGGAGGATTCGGATTCGAGTCCCGTCTACTTCCTTGACCGAGTGAATTTAATTCTTGTAAAATTTTCTTCGGATTACAACATATAGCAGTTAAACTCTTAAAAAATATGATAAACTATTTTTTTATTAATATGATATCTGGGGGCTCAGACAAGTAGCCATCTTTCTATTTTACAATTGATTAAAAAAATAAGTGATAGCAATAAGTGATAACAATTTAAAAGTCTTGCTATATATATATATCGTTTATATCTTTTAAACATTTGATTCATTGTACAAAATTAACAATAAAAGATTATTGCTTAGTTTCAGTTAAATTTAACTAAAGTATAATGATATTAAAAGAAGTTAATATTGGCATTCGTTCGAGAGAAAGAAAGCTACTTGTTTATTGCACCTGAGCGAATAACACTAACGCATCTGATCTTAAGTACCCGTCGGACATAACCCAGTACCCGTTGCATAAATTACATTATATCACGTTTTTATCGTGTTTAACTCCCCCATCCCCCCCGTCCCCAAATAAATATATAACAAATACCCTTGTTATTTTTAAATACATATACATATTTATTGTTTATTTTATGCATGTTTTTATTCATTTGGTTGATTGCAGATACATGAATGTTTTTTAGACTCGTACCCAATTAGTGATTTTTCTCGGGTAATATCAAGTTTTCATTCCTTTCACCCGCTTTGTTTCATTACCTAAGATTGAAGACTATTTCATCAATGTTTTTTTCTTTCTTTATATGTTTTCTTTTTGGTAAATAAGGTTTACTTATGTTATTCAGCTGTGTACATTTTTGCTGGCCTTTGGCTGTTTAATGTACCTTTACAAATAAAATAAAAAATAAAAAAACTGTCAAATTCCATAGTAATTTGACAATTGAGCGTGATAAAAGTGAGCTATTTATCATATCGCGGTGCTCATGCTGGTGGGGCTGATGCGGAAATTACTGATATAACGTGCAGAGTCATCTTTACTTTGCCAGTCAGATTCTTTTTCACGTCTCATTAAAAATAATTAATATCCCTGTGTAATGGCATACAAGGATCGGAAAATATTAGAAAGGAAGTTGTAACAAAAACTGTTAAGTAATACAAAAATAAAACATTAGAAACTGCTATTCTGTCCAATATTTGACATTTAATATCTGTGCGACAAAACTTAACATTTGTATATATATATATATATATATATATGATGCCTATATATTTATACACTTAACAAATTGTATCCCACCAAAAACATTTTCATGTAACACGTTGCCAAGATGAGACCATATTACTCGCACTGTCAAAAAAATGACAGATCTCATGTAGAGCCAAGTTCTAACTCTACACGCTCTAATTACAATACCTAACTTCAAAAACTCTACACCGTAACCAAAATATATGGTTTGGCCGTATCGTTACTACAATAACTATTTTATCACAGAAAAGTAACGAACAGCGATTAAAGCAAAAAAACTTTTTAACAGGTAAAATAACGATTGACGTTTCATTTTCAAAATTATTTTTGAAAAAAAAAATCCGTGCCCCCAGATTAAAGAATGGTATAGATATGACAGCTATTAATTACAAAACTACTCGTTGCATTAACATGAGATACCTACACTGCAAGACCAACAGATACTATTAGTTCTTTTTGTTTGCATGATTTAACATAAGAAGGAGATGGAAAGCCTCTCTGAGTTTGTTTCGCCGGTTCTTCTCAGAAAGATCTCCCAATTTTGGAACCGGTGGTAGTTTACGGTAGTTAGGGTCAAATAAATAAACTCATAATTACAAAAAATAATTTTAAATAAAGTACTTTATTAACTAAATTAAATAATAAATTCATACATAGACAATAAAATTTTAAAAATCTTCCAATAAAATAACCGAATGCTCAATAAGAATCTTTCGAAGGTAGCTCGATAAAATTAAATAAAAAAATCAATATTCTGACGATGCAGACCTGAAAAGGCTGCGAAACGTCAATAAATAAATAAAGTTTCGTGCATTAACCCGTTAAAACTAGTTTTATTTAATGAGATACTTATTAAGTTTTTTATCCAGAAACTAAAAGTTTCTAAGTACCTTTGTATAGTCGAGATTCTCTTGCAACTTCACATTGGGACACTCTCCGGGCAAAGTGAATTCTGCTCCCAGCACAGACGACACTATGAAACAAAGCGTAAACAGCACTAACATATTGACACTTTTGTTAAAACAAAACAAACCAGTTTCTTGCGCGAAATCGCGGTATATTGTGGCGCAAGCGGACTGCCCACGCTTTAATTATCCAATGAGATGACCCCTGCACATAAAGACGTTTTACATTGATTTATTGCCTACTTTGCAAATTGCTGGTGTAGGGTTATTCCTATAATGTACACATCCTTTGATTTATTTTTAGTACGTCATCCGCCCTTTGACTATATGTTGTCCTTCATATTACTAATATTTATGTACCTTATATTGTTTTAAACTTTCACGGTCACTAACATTATAGTTATTAAAGGGATTGTTACCATGTACCTTGTTTTTTTAAGAGTCACTGATATTTCGACACTGGTACAAGCGCCATGTTCGCGGAGTTACTCCGTGAAGCGCCATGTACCAGGTACATGGTAACAATCCCGTTAATAGCTATATACTCGTATCTACCTTATAACTTTTTTTACTGGAGAGTTTAAATCAATTATTTGCCGACCAACGGGCACGACTGTTCCAGTCTCCAGCATCGCTTCCGGAAGCTTGCAGCAGTCTGCCAAGCCTGTTTTTCTTCTGGACTAACCTAGACTGGCTGGAGTAAACGGGAATGTTTCAAGGCACGCACGATTGTCGAATGATTAGGACTAAGTGCGGAAACAGCACCGCAAAACTAAAAAAAAAACTAAAACAGTACTCTAAGCTACTAATGATGAATAGCATCAAATTCGAATTCAGCAGATTATTTATGTGTCAAAGTTGCTGATAAACAGAGTAATTTACACATCTATTTAAATCAATAAACATTACTAAATATAATATTTAACATGAATCGTAACTGTAAATACCCCTTTACATTCGAAATTATCACAACTTTGAATTGTTATGTTTTATAATTGTTTATAGTTTTTAAATTAATATAATAAATACACTGCAGTTAACAGATAACATTCCCAGAAGAGTTAACAAAACATGAATACTAAACACTTAATATTCTTGGTATTTGTAAACCTTATCACTTATGAATAAATTACTTGTGTTCTAAAAATTGGATTCTGACAAATGCTTCTTATTTTTTTTATACATAGGTCCGAGCAATGACTCCGCCCCACCTGCTGTTAAGTGATTTTAATTAATTTAATTAATATTAGTATTAGTCTAGATGTTTTTGAAACACTGTTAAAAATAGACATTACGTTGATAAATAAAACTAGTTTTAACGGGTTAATACACGAACATTATTTTATTTATTGACGTTTCGCAGCCTTTTCAGGTCTGCATCGTCAGAATAATGAATCAATCTGTTTATGTGTCCACTGATTAAGAGGACCCATTAACCCGTTAAAACTAGTTTTATTGAATGAGTGATGTGCGTGAAAACCCAAAAAAAAATTATGACGTTGATAGATCTTCTTTATTATATTTTATCATTTTTTCTTTAGCTTCTTGCCTGAAAATTAAGAGAATAGGGAAAATAATAAATGCAAAACCAAACAATTTATTTCTGAGAACCTATAACTGTACTAATAAATTAATATAAAAGTAATTTATATCGTTGACACTGTTGACACTGCGATAACCTTAGGTTTCATACCAGCAACACTCAGTTCGCATTTATTAACAGTTTCACAGCCAAACAGTTAACATTTGCCAAACGATAATGTTGAAAATAATAATATTGTTGTTTTGTACGTGCGGCGTCTTCGGTTACTTCACATTGCCGGGGAAATGTCCAGAAAACGTGCCTGTTTTAGAAGATTTCCATTTAGCCGAAGTGAGTTATTATCATATCATCATTATCATCATCAGTCTGTTTATGTGTCCACTGATTTAGAGGACCCAGGACTTTCTGAACGGAATAGGGAAAACAGCCATGGCTCATCAAGTGGATACAGTGCAGATTGGTGGGTGCTAAAGACTGAAAATGCAGCCTGGACAAACGGCTAAATATGCTTTCCGAGGCAAGAAATGTTTAGAATGATTAAATTTTTGTCATTTATTATTTTTAAATTATTTCTTATCGATTTCAATAAAAAAAAAACCGGCCAAGTGCGTGTCGTGCCACGCGCAGTGTAGGGTTCCGTAGTTACTCGTCGTCACCACAATATAATATTTTGGAAAGAGTATATATTTTAAGCTATTACTTCTAATTTACTTTTAATGTTTTCTTCTACGGAATCCTTATTAGGTCAGAAATTTACTAATACATAAGTGGAATGACTATTAGTCTTAATTAAACAAAATTTTAACCATTATATTTTTTCTTTAAAAAATATAAAAAAGGACTATTATACTATTATCCTGGATTTTCCAGGGTTTTCAAGTCAATAGTTTAGCTTTTGGAAGGGGGAAAGGGGGGAGGGAGCCCTGCACCAACAAAAATTAAAGTTTACGTAAAAGAACACTTTAAAGTTCAATATTTCGCAAACGGATTCCTAAATCAAAAAAATGTGTTAAGTGATTTTATAGGACCTGAAGTAATTTTAAAGGACCTATTCAGCGATTCCCCATATGATGGGGTAATCGATGAAAAAATAAAGTCATCTCTAGATTACATGTAGGGGAGTTACCTCAAAATTTTATTCTACTATTTTGTCGGCATGATTGATGTACCTTCACAAAATTACAGTTCTCTAGTGCAAACAGTCTCCAAGAAAAACCAGGGACGGACAGACAGACGGACATGACGAAACTATGTATAAGGGTTCCTTGTCAGGACTACGGAACCCTAAAAAGTACGTATTATTTATTGAAATCGTTTCAGAAGCCAATTCCAACCTAACTACTTTCAGGACGATTTCTGTTACACGTTGTATAGATGAATAAATGTACGTGAGTTTTCACGAAATATCTTATAATTTCAGTTCCATGGGAAATGGTATCAAGCGTACTACTACGCCAGTGACGGACAACGGAAGAACAACTGTTCTACACTAGAAATGAAGTTAAAGCATAACCGTGATAATTACCCTGGGCTGTTCTTCAACCAATCGAGAGTCGACCTTGGGCTGTTCCATAGATACAGTATAGCGAACGTTCCACCACCAAAACACGGATCGACAAGTGCAAGCTTTCAATTGGTGTTTATTTACGAAAATGCTCCGAGGCGGTGTAAGTTCAAAATGATTATGATTATATTTTTAATCGTAAAATTGCCAGATGTTTAAAAGTAAAGAAAATATTACTAGAAAAATATGCACGAGGACCAAACAGACGATGGGACCTTCCGATATCCGGGCGGATGCACTGACCATCATAGTAGGGGAGCCCAAGCAGGGATTTTTGGATTTACTCGAGCGCGGCAGAATAACATATGGGGAGCAACCTTGCACCTAGTTAAGTACTCTCACCATACCTGAGTCCTCTATGTAGGGCCGAATGTCTAGGGCAGCAAAAATAAAATTTCAACGAACGGTCATGACTTTTGGTCGCGCCCAAATCGTCAGTCTTTATCCCCTACTATTATGCTACCGCGGCCCTAATTGTCCGTGCCGAATTTACGGATCTCTAGTTTTTAGGCTGCAAGGCAGCGCCATCTCTTCACATTGTAGGTAACTCACAATTTCAAATGAATACCTTTACAAGTTTTAACATTTACAAGAGAAACCGCAATTATAGCTATATATTTTTTTATAATTTAACTGCTAGATGTTGAAATCTAAAGAAAATTTTATAATTATGATTGTCAGTGAGTCCAGAAAGGGATATGTTTCTTTTGGAACATATGAAGATTTAATTATTTCTCTCTATATATCTACACTTGGTCACGTCATAACTTGATAATTTCTTTACCGATTTCATCTACCTTCTTTTTCAAGGTATAGATTTTACAGAAAATATGAGGAAATTAGTTTTAAAAAAACACTTTTATATACCATTATGAACCGCATACGGTTCTTAGGATATTTTTGACATTTCGGATCCTGCTTTAAAAGCTCCGTGGCTTAGAATAATATATCTTAAATTACGATTGCCTGTAGAATTCGGAAAAACGACTGGAAATAAACGGAGTCGAGTACGCCCGTGTTTGTATTGGTTCCCCGCAATCTCGCATCATTGAGGTACATTCCAACTATAGGTCGACTGCTTAACTGAGTCCTCGCTTGCGGAGTAAAGAGTGTGCAGGCACATTCTTGTCAAAATTACAAGCGCCCACCGCGCCGCCCGCACTCTTTACCCCGCAGGCGAGGACTCACTTAAGCGGTCTACCTATAGAACAGTGCAGGGTCGTTTGCCTGTGTTCCAGTAGCTGAACGTGAATAAAACAATTTAATTATTGCTTCTGGTGCCCAAAATCGAGTAATGTCTTTCATGCACCCGAATACGGGCTAACGACCAAGTGTAATTGCGCTTTAATGCAGAAATTAGCCAAGGATTTTACACAAGAAAAAAAATACTACGGAGCTTGAACTTGAACGATTTAAAAACGTCAAGTGATCATCGTCATCCGCCTATTAATGTTCCCACTGCTGGGCCACAGGCCTTCCCTATAGATGAAATAGGGAGTTGGGCTATGACCCATCACGCGGGCCCAGTGCGGATAGGCGGGTGCTAACGACTGCAGATGCAGCCGGGACCAACGGCTTAACGTGCCTTCCGAAGCACGGAGGAACGAGATAGAAGATTTTCGGTTACCCATCCAATGAGCGACTACTGCGAAAGTTGCTTAATTTCAACGATCACAGCCGAACGCAGTACTATGAATGTTTTCTACTTTACCATTGGTATCTGTAAAAATTTACAAGAAACGTTATTTTAAAATTAGTTTTTTTTTTTGGAATAATTTTCAGTGAAAACGAGAAAATATCATTTTCATATATTGGCTACCAATTACAATTACTACGCTACCGCTTACACGTGTCAGTACAGTCCTCTCATCGACAAACATTTCAGTAAGTACATATTGCCTACTTTATTAACTTATGTTATTTATTATTTTTTTATGTTAAAAGGTTGGCAAATAAGCGAAGTAAGCGGCCACCGTGACACCAGACGCTTAC